ACTCCAACACCCTAAGGGACTTTGCTATAATTCTCCTATTAGGACTCCTACAGCAAGCACCCTTCTCTGCCACAAACAATCTGAAGTTCACTGGACTTATAATGCATAAGGTTCAAGCAGCAGGGCAACTTTTCCTAGAGCCTAGACCTGATCAAAACAATCAGCTTTATGCCATATCCAGTGAGTATTTTGCAGCAATAAACCTAAATACGGTATATGTTGCTTCCAAAATCCCTGTGCCTCCTTCTCCATAGTGAAGATGCAACATGCCCCCTGCCCCCCACTGTTCTTCAGCTCCTTCCTACCTCTAGTAGCCTAGACATTTTACCCATGTGGCAGGATCCTCAATTTTTGTAGGATTTCTTTCTCTCCCTCTGGCATACATGGGTCTGTCTGAGGCATTTAGGGTTCTTGCTATTTCATGCACCAGTAAGCATAATGTCCTCAGTGTAAAGGACCAGTTTGATATTCTGTGGGATATCAAGATTATGTTATGATACTCAGAGCAGGAAAGTTGCCACATCCCTGAGGTAAAACAGTGAAGGTGTACTGCTGTCATTCCAGCTGAGAAGGAACTGATATTGGTGGTCTTGAATTGATGGTATAGGAAGAAGGCACATGCTAGGTTGGTTGTTGTGCACTGTAACAAGGGCTGCAGCATCTTTTAAGTCTTTGAAGGTGCTCTAATCCCTGCAACTTCTCTCACAATGCAGCACTGCTTTAAATTTAGTATCATAGGCAGGAGTGTGGTGGGGCAAGCACTGTTCAAAGGACTTCCACCTGGCCTTTCCTACCATAATTTCCCTCACCCAATGGTCAAGGAACCAGTGTGGAGATGTTGTTAATTATGAGATACACCCATTCCCACATGCACTCTGAAACTAGAGAAATAACCACTGGATAGGTCTTACAGACTCACTTTGAGATGGATCTGGACCAAGATCTTTCTATCACTCGACTACCATGAACCCTCCTTCTGATTGGTAGACCACAATGGGGTTTAGGGTCCCCAAGACTATTATTTATCACAATGCAGTATCCAACAATCCTCCCCCCAAATTCCCTGTTCCCCATTCATAGTCACCCTGGCAAGTGGCTACAGATGTCTCTGGGGAAGGCCTAGACCACTGATTCTCAAAGTTAAGCACATGTCATAATTACTAGGAAGGAAGATTTCCAGGCCAATACCAGAGTTTCTGATTCAGCAGAGTTTGAGCAGAGCCCAGGGATTTGTATTTCTGGCAAGTTCCCAGGTGATGTTAATGTAGCCGATCCAGGGACCACAATTTGAGAACCACTGACTAAGAGAAAGATTGATACAATCTGCCTGTGAAAGAAACTCAGACTTCCCACCATACTCCCCTACCTGATTAAGGCCTTCAGGTCTGGGGAACTGACTTAAGGAAATGGGTAAAAGCTTATCAGTCCCCGATAGAATTTGAATAAAGTTTCTCCCCACCAGACATAGAAATGTTCCACTTATGCACGTCAGGTAGCACATCAGTAAACTGTCTGTCTACTTTATTCCTACGAATGCTGCAATCAATTAGCTACCACCAGAGATCCCTGTGAGCAAAGCATGTTGATTACCACTTGTCCCTGTAGCTTATATAGTAATTTCATTCACCTTAGTGCTCATGGTTAGGTGCCAACATCTGGTCTCTGCCACTCAAGGATTCCATATTCCTCTTGAAATAAGATTGTCCAGTCCCATCTCCCACCCTCATGTTCCACCTACTAAAGAAGCCACTATAGAGCTTTTCAAAGAAGTTAATGTTCCCCTCAGCAATGATGTTCTTATTGTCTTGGAGAAGGAAGCATCTTTCTGGGCCCTTAGGAGGTGTCCAAGTAGTGGTTACACAGAATAGGTGTATGCCAACATTTCCATGTCTCTAACCCTTGTTCTTCATCTAATGCAGCATCAGCATCACTTAGAAGTTTGCTAGAAATGTAACAACTTAGGCTTTACCCCAGACCTGCGAATCAGACTCTACAGTTTATCAAGACTCCAGAATGAATCATCTGCACCTCAAAGTTTAAGGAGCACTGTTCCACAGTATGTATGTCAGTGAGGTCCTAGCATCTCAGCCTCATTGATCATATTGGGTCCAGGCTTCTGGTAACCAATCCAACAGACTATGAACACCACTCCCAGGTGCTCAGCTAATACAATAATACACAAATCCTGGGTAAAGGCACCCATATCAATACCTGTGTAAATGTGTCCTCACAGGTCCCCAGGATTATCCCAATACAGTTGGCAACTTCCTGCAGCTTCTCAGTGTATGTGCTGTTGTGCTTGGAGCGCACCTCACACGCTCCTGTCTAGGCTGGGTTAGAATCGAACCCTCACTGTGGCTGTGGCGACTCTGAGGAGGAGTCAGGGTGAGTCCTGAAGAGAAAATGCATGCCCTTGGCCAGGGACTTATTAAAAACATGTTTAATGCAACGGAAGTCTGTGACCTTCATAGTTTACAGAGGAAAAGAGAAGGGGGGCATTCTGCCAACAAAGAAGATTCAAAGGGGTTTGAGAGTCCAAATTCCCAGCTTTGTTCATAAATGCCCAAATGTCCCCATACTAACTGTCAGAGTCCTACTCCTTCCCAGCAGTACCCTTATTCTAGTACAAGGGATATGGTGGGATTGGGTATTTATCTGGTGCTGCAACTCCACAGCATCATACAATAAGGTCATGGGCTTGATCCTTAGCCATATTTGCCATGTGGTTTTAACCACATCTTTCTCGTGTGTAATTTTGCTAGCACAGTCAGAAACAGGCTGCCCACCCAACAATATATGTAATCACCACATGTGGCCACAGCAATTAAGTGTGTCAGGTGTTTTATCTCCTAATGTCTTTCCCTCCACCAACATTCTGCCCTAGACTATCACTGGCAATAGTCCAACTGATTATGATGCTTCTCATGCTCCAGATTATTGCTGCCCTCTTTCCCTCTGCAAGAAAATGATCTGTGTACTTGTCAAATACGTGAGCAAACCGATGCTAAGATCCCACTTTGGGGAATGTATTTGCTGGGATCTCTTCTGGTACCTTTACTATGTCTGTCAGGATCGTAGCTGAAGACATATGGCACACTCAAACTAGTTTAACCAGAAAGATTTTAATAACGGGACTACTTAAGAGGTGGGGTCAAGGATTAAGGAACCAACAGGGAACGGTGAAACACTCAGGGTTTAACAAGAGTGGCAAACTGTTACCATACCAAGACCTGAAGGAGGAAGAGGAAGGAACAGTGTTTCAGGAGCCGTAGAGACAAGCCAGTGGAGAGGAGGCAGCCCGAAAGGATCTGTAACGGCCACTCAGTGTGGTTCTCAAACTGCAGCAGGTACCCCAGTCCCTGGAGGCTGTGTTAAAATACAGATCACTCCAGTAGGTCTGGAATAGGACCTGAGAATTTGCATTTCTCACAAGTCCCCAGGTGATGCTGCTGCTGTCCAAAGGCCACTCTTTTGAGAACAACTGCCAGAGAGCAATTAATTCCCTTGAAGAATTGCAGCAAGGTGAAGGATTTGAGGGATTCATACTCCAACCTTTCTCTCCTACCACCCACTGATATCCCACTGCTGCCTCCTGTGGGCCAGATACAAAGAGAGGCCAGAGGGCAAGGGATCCTGAGCAAGGCTGTCTGTAAAGACCAGTCTTCCAGAGAGCAGAGCAGGGCAGAGAAGAGTAGAGAATGGGTGGGGTGGGACACCAGAGAAAAATCAGAACCACCATAAGAAGAATAGATAAGATCGATGGAAAGATGGCTAGATGAGTTAATTGACACATATTTTAATGAAAGGATAGCATAATAATAATGGTTAATATTAACACTTAATGAATATTTATTATGTGCCAGCCTAAACTAATGCCTTTACTGAGATTACCTCATTTAATCCTAAGAAGTAGGTCTATTACCATTCCTACTTTACAGATAAGAATACTAAGATACAGAAACTGAAGTATTCACACACGATCGTGCAGTTAACTTAACAAGTGGTAGGACCTGAATCCCAGCCTAGGCATGCTATCCGTGGAGCCTTACTCCTCCGCACCGATCTATGGTCGATGGACAGATGGCAAATAGGCAGGATGGGACAGTGGTAGAGCGTAAATTTTACGACAAAAGACACCTGGATTCAAGGCACTTGCTTGCTGTGTGACCTCGTACTCTGAGCCTCATTTTTCTTATGTTTAAAACAGAGATAGTAATATGATGATAATAAAAATGACTTTATAATTTTCTTGGGAAAGTTAAGCAAGATAATAGTGGCAAAGTCCTTGATACAGAGCCTAGAACATAGTATAACAAACACAAATGCTATTACTACTAGTATTATCATTAATGAATGGAAAAAAAGATAAGTTAAAAACTTATGAGGGACTCACCACCCCATCTAAAAGAGGGTCCAGAGCTTAGGTGGGGTGGTTGAATGCATGCCCCACATATTAATCTCTCTTTTGAGGCTTTCTCTTCTGGCCTATCTCTAGTCTTTCTTGGAAGGATGGGAAATCACTTGTGCCCCTTCCACATCTGTCAATTCCTTGAAATTTGGAAATCTGTCTGAATATGAGCTGGCCAGCCTTTCTCCTTAGAAATCCCCTCTTGGTTCCCAGGATTGAGAGAAGGGGAAAGATGAAGAGGGCTGTTCCAGGCCAGAGCCCCCCAGATGTGCCTGATCCAGGTATTGGACATATGTAAATAGTACATAGAGAAAGGGGCAGAGCTCATCAAGCCAGGAAGCTGAACCTCAGAGGCCTGCGATGGGGGATGGGGGTGCTGGGCCTCCTTCCAAGGAACATTCCCTTTCCGCTCCACTTGTCTCAAGGGAGGGCCTGATTCCCAGACGATGATGGGCAGCCACTGTAATGATTTAGGGGGCTACCCCAGGCTCCATACTTGTTCTGGGGGCACCAGAGAGCCTTCTTTTCCACCTGCGCCAGAAGGAAGAACCACAGAGAACAGAGTGAGGATGAGGGATAAACCTAAGAAGGGGGCACAACTCCTCATTTTGACCCCCCCCAATTCTGACCACCACCCCTGAAGGACAGCCCTGTGGTTGATAATGCAAATGCCACCAATGAGATGATAGCACAGGCCCTCTCAAAGGATCTAGCAGCACAAGGTTCCCTGCTCTTGGCTAGAACGCAGACTGCTTAGGCTCTCAGAGCTGAAGCCAAGGGAAGCAGAAGAGTGGGAGGCTGCTTGAGGTGGGAAAAGGGAGGGCAGAGTCATGTTCCCAGAAAGAGGCAAGGGGAAAGGGGGAATCCAAACAAGGAGCAGGAAGGGGGATTTCTGAGCAGAAATAGTGAAAGTTCCTCCTGCTATAAATAGATGGTCAAGAGTCCACCCTTACGCAGACATCCACACTCACATTCCCAGACCCCATATACCCTACAAAAAAGCTGTGACATTTCCACTATCAGCCAAGCCACTCCCAGCCTCACACAGCCTGCTGCACAGCTCACAGGCACTCACACACACACACTCTCACGGTCAGTCAGCCTGCGTTCATCCTCCATGGCATCCCGTGCAGCCGCACTACTGGCCATCAGCCTGCTGATTCTGTGGACCTCCCATGGTAAGGCTGAGGGAAGGCTTGGGGGAGGGGGAGGGCGCGGAGAGAAAATGTCTAGATCTCAGCCTGCTTGGAACTGGACATGAGGGACACTGAGAGGTCTGCGCAGTTCAGTGAACCTGGGGGTACCCTGTGTCCTGTGGTACGCCAGTGAGCGTGAGTATATCTGAGCCCCTGAATTCCAATGCGTGTCTGTCTCTTGGTGTATCTCAGGGCCTATGGCTGCCCGTCTCTCTGCAGGTTCTATTTCTTCCTGCCACAGTTTCCCAGGCAGAAGAAACGAACAATATATATTTGCTTAAGGTGGGGAAAATAAGAGACACTGAGGCAGGGCTAATGGTCAAAATTTTTAACTATTCGTAAGTCCTCTAACCCAGCCTCCTGCTACCTTACACCCGCCTCTCCCCCATCAGTTCAATGCTGTGACCAGCATTAACTCTTTTAATTGAATTTATTGGGGTGGCATTGGTTCAGCAAACCATACAGGTTTCAAGTGTGCAACTGTATGAAATATAATCTGCACACTGTACCAGGTGCCCATCGCCCCAAGCAAAGTCTCTTTCTGACCCCATTTTCCATTCCTTTGCCCACCTCTGCCAATCCCCTCCCTTCTTTCCTTCTGGCTATCACCACACAGCATGGAGAGATCATCATGCTAAGTGAAATAAGCCATCCAGAAAAAGACAAATGCCATATGATCTCACTTACATGTGGAATCTAATGAACAAAATAAGCTGACAAACAACAACAGAAACAGAGGCATGGATGCAGGGAACAGGCTGACAGCTGTCAGAGGTAGGGGATTGGGGGCTGAATGAAAGAAGGTGAAGGGATTAAAAAGAAACATGTACATATCACACATAGCATTAACTCTTCATTTGTGGAAGAGAGGTTGGGGTGATGGGGCACCTGGAAGGCACTTGTGGGGCTCAAAACAGCAGTTGTTTAACAAACAGCTTAGAATTATCTCAATATATTTAGCAACCAGGAGGGCCATGTTGGTGCATACTGGCTAAGTATCAGGTTTGCTGCCTTCACACACACACACAGGTGTCCTGAATTCCAAATAGGGCTGTGACCTCCCCTCCTCAAGGTCTCTTTATTCTAACACTACCTTCTTTCACCTATTGCCTATCGGCCACCCCAGCTCAGAGTGGTGCCAACGATGCAGAAGACTGCTGCCTGTCTGTGAGCAAACGCCCTATCCCCGCGCACAGGGTGAGATCCTTTCGATTCGCCCTCCTCCAGCATGGCTGCCCAGTGCCCGCCATCGTGTGAGTTGTGGGGAGGAGTGCATCTAGCCTCGTCTCCCCAGTCTACCCCCACTTTCCTATCTCTCCTTGCCAAGCCCAACCTCTTCAAGGAGCCCCTGAAACAGGTTTACAGAGGTGACCCTCAGCCTCTGCCCCCACCCCTTACCGAGTGCCCACCAGGAAGCTGGGTTCCAGGGTTCCAACCTCTCTGACCTCTGACTCCAGGTTCACCACACTGAAAGGTTACCATCTCTGCGCACCGCCAGAGCTAATGTGGGTGCAGCGCCTCGTCTTGAAACTGGAGAGGAACGCTGCCAAGGCAAGCCTGCCCTCTCCAGCCCTGCCTTCTCCCTCTGAGCAACTGCCCAAGACCCCAGCCAGTGACCTTCTCTCTCCTCCCTCCTCCAGAGCATGCAAAGTTAGCCCATGGCAGCCCCCAAGAGAGCCCTGTGTCCGAGTGAAGGATGTGAATCACTGCCGCCCTGGAGAGCTGAGACCTAGGAGAGAGAACCAGACCGTCAGCTCCTATACAACAAGACCTGAGCAGGGCCTAAAGTGTCAATGTGAGTGTGAGTGTGTGTGTGAATGTGAGCAAGAGGGTGAACGAGAGTGTACATGTAGCAAGAGCACAGCTTCTCCATGCCCAGACTGCAATATTTCCAATAAAGCCCACTGGCACCCACAGATTTGTCTGTTTGCTGTCTCTTCAGGAGGACCGGGATGGGAAGGGGAAATGGAATGGCAGGGTCTGTTTTACACTCCGCAGCCTGAGCAAACTTCTCATCAACCTCCACCTAGCACCCTGTATTCTCAGGATAAGGTCTCACAATCAGGGCTTCCCCTCCTGTCTCCTCAAAACCCTGCCACACTGCATGGTTCAGCAGCACTCAACCTGTGTCAGTTTCCCGAACAGGCCAAACCCTCCATGCCTCCCAGTCTCTGCTCTCTAAGGCAGGTGTTCCAGCACACAGGTGTGTCAAGGATCAGGTGTCACTGGGGGAAGAGAGTTGCCAGGAACCAACTCTCATGGGTAAAGGAGAGACAGGGGGTCCAGCTCTACTGCCTGGGTGGGGAGTACCCATCTACCCACGCCATTCCCTCATCTGGAACACTCTTCTCTCTCTCCTGCTCACTTAGCTTACCTCTGGCTCTGGATGACTCTTCCCCCAGAAAGCATTTGCTGACCCCAGGCTGGGTTAGGTAGCCTCCCTCCCTCCTAACCTCTCAGGAACCCCTGTCCCTATCCCCTTACAGCACCCACCACACTGAGTTATAATGGCTAGTTTGTCAGCTTTCCTGGACAGGGGTCCTGTCTGTTTGGTTTCCACAGACTCCCTGGTGTCCAGACACTGACTGGCATAAGGTAGTCACTCAAACATTTCTCTAGAAAGTGAGTAACTATGTGAAGAAAGGATTGGCAGCCAGGGGTGAAGGCTCGTCTGTCCATATAGACTCTGACCTCCAGGCCAGCCCTTCTTTCTCACCCAGTCAGTCTGGGCCAGGTCCAGCACCATCTGGGACCACACTTCTCAGGACACTGACAGACAGACCTGGGGGTCAGAGGTCAGAGATGGGACAGGACCAAGAGGGTAGAAGAAGGAGCAGCCAGGGAAGCTAGAGCGATTCTGCCTGAAGGAAGCCCACCACACCTCTGAAGCCCACAACACTGAGACCGGGGCCTTCACGGGGAAAGAATATCAGCTCCAGGAGACTTTTAGAACAGCCCAGGGCAGCTCTGGAAGGAGTGAACCTCTTGCACTTAGAAAGTTCTCTGGGGAAACCGGCTGGCTACCCAGCTATGGCCTCCAAGGTCCAGCCGAGAGCAGCAAATCTGTGCCACTGGGGTTGAATGGCAGCCATATGACAGACTGGGCATCCTCACTTGGCAAGAGTAGCCAGCGCTATACCAGACATATTACATCTGGTAACAAAACCAGGCCTGTGCAGGTCTGGCAGCCTGGGAAGGGGAGAGATGGTTAGGGGGCTATGCCAGCCCCTCCTCACGGAGCTGAGGGCATAACAGCTTCTTCCTCCCTCTGCTCCCAGAAGCAGGTGTTTAAAACCTAAGATTTCCCAGGTCCTAGAGTTACACAGAGTGGGAGGGATGGGGATAGTTTGCAAGAACAACTGTAATGGCTGGGAGGTTTGGCTCTGTTGCGTGTGAGAAATTACCCATCCATTCATGCATCCATGCATCCATCCATCTAATGTCCCTGCATCCATTAGACTTACATTCATCATCATCCTACCCACCCATACATTCATGCATTAATCCATCCATCAAGTCAGCCAGTCATGGGATTCTAAAGGTCCCAGCTGTGCATACCATTTGATTCTGTGCCCTGAACCCCAGTAGGCAGAGGACAAACACAGGTGTGAGGGGGCACATTGCCTCAACTCCCTCTCAGTTCCCAGTGAAGACAAGTAGAGGCTGGCCTACCACAGAGGAAGACACAAACCATCCCTCTGGACACCCAGGGAAATACCAGCAGGGGACTGAGGATGGAAGCCATGAAGAAGGTGCTACCAGGACAAAGGTCCCTGGACACTACTTTCCTGCCACTGCCACTGCCACTGCCACTGTGTGTTACAGGAACAGGCCTTGAGCTCAGTGCACAGCTGCCAACCCCACAATCTCATTTCTGCCCCTCACTCTTAAACTCTAGGCAAGATCTTTCCTCACTACCTCCCAGGGCCTTAGTGCCTCCATCTGTCAGTTGGAGGGTAGCCTAATTTTTAAGAGTCCCTCCAAACAAAGATTTGACTCACAAATATTTGGGTGTCAGGCTAAACACAGGCTTCCCCAAAGTCACACATGTTAAGAAATGGAACACCCTCAGGGAAAAGAGGAGAAGCTGGGACTCAGGAAGAGAAAAAGTAATCCAAAAGCTAGTGAGACAAATGAAGAACTCTGAGGAATTCTGGGAGCAGACACCTAAGTCCCATAGAGAGCAGGTAGGCAGTCCTCCCCACCTTTTCTCCACCCACTGCCTTTCCTTCTGGGGTGCTCTCTCCCTCTTTTCCTCATCTCCAGCCACCAATCCCTCATGGGTACTGGGTTTTATCTCCTTATCTCCCTGTCCAAAACATGAGAGCCCAGCAATTTGGGACTTGGTCCTGATTCACTCAAACATTCTCAGCACTGAATCTTCATCTAATTAACATCTGCTCCAATTCACTATAATTCACTAAGTGTGACATCTCTATTTGTCCTGAGTTCTGGTGGACCAGAAGCCAACCTGCCTCCCTGACAATGAAGCTGCCAGTTCTCTGAGGGGTGGTGTCGACTCTTAGCTCCCCAGCTAGGGTATGAGGACCTTGCTGCCTGTCTATAGGTAGATACCTTCCTCCCTAGGGCACATGGCACCTGCTACAGATCTAAGGTCAGCAGCTGAGTGATACCTCCCTACCCAGAAGCCAGCATCTCCCTAAAGGGATCTGACATCCCTGCTCAGGGAGCTCCTAGTTTTGTAGGTGGACAATAGCTCCCTATCCTGTCCATTAATAGAGTTCCTAGCAGAAGAGATCGGGCCTGTCCATCTCAATTACCAACATTGCTCTGCACAGGAGGCAGCAAAGAGCAAGTTGCAGTACACATCTGATAAACAAAAGATGGAATTGAACATGGCTCTTTCCCAGACGCCCTCCACAACTCTTACCGGGAGAACATCCAGTTCTCAAGACAGGGGGGCCATCTCTGTTGCATGGGTGTTTGTCCACAGTCAGCCCCATGCAGTTTTGATCATAGTTTCATCATCTCATGTTCATTTTTTGGTAAGCCCCCACCCTTGTGCCTGCCTTTTCTGGCCTCTGGGAAACTGAGAAACAGCCAGAAAACTTTGGAAATGGTCTCACAAAGGGGCAGGACTCTCAAATAGGGAGTTTCCTTCAAGAGATCCTCTGTAAGAATAAGCAGGCACCTCTCTGGTCAGAGAAGGCCCCTAAGACTTTACCCACATGGGAGGACATGGCTCTGTATACCAGCTAATTCACCACTATTCTTAACAGGTACTGGGTACAGCTTTCAGTGCTCTCATCAGTCTCATGCTGCATCTGAGGAAACTGAGGTGTAGAGGTTTAGTAACTTGTCCAGTTTAGTAACTGGACATCTGGTAAAGTGGCAGAGCTGAGGGTCGTAACTGAGTCATTTGGCTGCAGAATCTGCACTATACATACAGCCTCTTTTAGTTGACCTATCTCCTAAGTAAAAATGGGGAGCAATACAGCAGAGCCAGGTCTGAGGAAGTGGCCGTTGGGAAGTAGGGAAAGCTATTTCTTGTGGGTACTGATCATATGCTGGCCTCCAAGCTGAATCCTTTATGTCATGATATATTGCATCCTCACACAATCGTATAAGGTGGGGATCACTAGTCTCATTCCATGTGTGAAGAAATTGAGGCACAGAGAGGTAGAGTGACTTCCTAAGTCCACCCAACTGGTGAGTGGCAAAGCTGAGACTGCAGCCCAAGTCAGTCTGATGCATAGCACTTTGACTGAGGGCTAGGGGCTGGATGTCCAACTGGGGTGGAAAGGCTCAGCTTGCTAGAAAGAGCTGAGGAAAAGAGAAGAAGGAAGAAGCAGAAAGAAGAAGATGGCTTCAAGCAGGACCCCAGTGCTTGAGACTAGACACAGAGATGTTCCCTGTAGGGCCTCCAGCCCCCTAGGCCTCTCCAGCAGAAAGGGAACTGGCATCCCCAGAGCCTCCAGGAGGAAGTAGGCACAGGTTCTTGAGGTTTGCCCAGACCTCAGTTTTCCCAAGTGGAGCAGTAGAGAAGGGATCAGTCTACAACTATGCCGATCTTCTAACCTCCATTCTCAGGGAGTAACCGAGGCCAGGACCTGATGACGCTGTAATAAAAATAGGAATGAAGGGATGGGGCAGGACTGGGATCCAGAGGGTAGGACTATGGGTCCTGTGGGCAGGGCTTCTGAAAGGGGGAGGCCTCACAGGGGGGGCTCTGAGCCAGCCTGGCAGGACATCTATAGAGAAGGGCATCTAATGACCACAGGAGCAGGATCAGACTCTTGAAGGACCCACTTTTTGAGGGCTACTTTGGTCTCCTGAGGGGTCAGAAACAGGCAGGACAAGGGAGGAAGATAAGGGGTAGGGCAGAAGCTCTGAGGATCAGAGTAGATGAGGGAGTCAGGCCTCAGCCCCACTTATGTTCCTAGGACAAATCAAATCCTCCCCATGGCTCCTGTGGGAGGCAGAAGACATGAGCTGCCCTGAGCTCCAACCCACCAAAGGAGGATGGCTTTAACCCCAGAACCTTTGACACTGCCCTGCTGAGACAACCAGATACCCCAGTGTTCTGGATATCAGAACTGTAATCCCTAGAAATCTGAACCCAGCACCATCAAAATCCCAATCACCTTGCTGACCCCATACCTGTCAGACCACCAGGGGCACAACACTCAAGCCCTCCATCAATTCAGGAACGTGATTGCTCCTGGTAGGACCTACCAATATCTATTGGTGTCCCCATTGCTGACAGGACCTTATTAATGTCAAGGTCCCCCCATTATAATCAGACCACCACTCCTCTTGGGAAATTCTAGCACTGTCAGGAACACCCATGCCTGTCAGGCAGGACAGCATCATTGCACAACTCCAGAAGCATCATTTTCCCTTCAGTCTATGTAAATGGCACCTCCTGGCATAGCAACCCTAAGTATCACAGTAT